AAGAGGTAACGTATGAAACCATTATTCAAGCCCTATTTCGTTGATGATTCCGAGACGTAATCATCCTAAGGGGGAGATAACTGTCACGCCCGTAGATCCGGGCTAGTCAATTTAGAGACGATAAGTGTCAAAAAATGACTTTTTGATAGAAGATTGTTTAGAACGTCGAAATTCAAGTTATAACGAAGAAGTTATGACCGGTAGAAGTTTCGCGACAGAACCCACACGACACAACGCGATGTAAATAGTGAATTTACATTAGATCGATATTTTGCCCTAACAATCTAAAGGAAGCCGTAGAATACGTTAAACCGAGAGCGTATATAAAAAGAACGTCTAAATCTGACTTCGTACGAGGAAGTTATGAATTTCCGAAGTTTCAGCTTAGCAGTATGCAACCCGAAGTTCGGATTTGAGATCGAGTGATTTCTAGCTGAAATAATCTAAACGAGAATCGAAGATATCGTTGGTAGTAGTGTAACGGTAAAAAGACAAACGAAAACGGGCGTTATATGAAGAAGTTATGAATTTCTAACGGAGTTTTCCTGTCTCGGCCTACTAAAAATAATATAATAAAAATAAAGTCAAAATTAGCCAACATAGTCTAAACGAGAGTTGTAGAGCATAATCTCATTTACGCGTTGATATAAAAAACGTCGAAAACGGAGATCGTATGCGAGTGTTATGATTTTCTGAAGTTCAAGGCACTCATCCCAAAGGGGGAACGCCCCGCGTTCATAGTTTGGCTACGTTGATGGTGACTCAACCGAATAAGATATAAGACTGGAACCTCGCTCCTACGTGTCGCATTCGAAGGGAACGCCCTACGTTCGAGGGCCAGACCCCTCCTATAAATAGAAGTTGAGTCCAACCGATTTGGTTACTCAATTTCTTTCCTCTCACTCAATATTGCCTCGTTTTACGGGCAAGTTATACCCCCGAAGCCCCGGTATCATCCCGAAACCCGAAGCAAGTCCCGAAGCTCCGAAGATCCCGAGAATAAAAGAGTTTCGAGCCGTGGAAAACATGAACATTTTCAATAGTTCAGTTGAAAATAAAGAATGAAAAAAAATAAAAAATTAATGACTAAACGTTAACGAAATCTAAAGTTTGTTACCATCTAAAAACATTATCCCCACTATTTATATAGTTTTTTTTTTTTTTTTTAAAGACATAGTCCTAATTTGGTTAGCACTTGGTAGTGACAAGATTATTGTGCGTGCATTCTAGGGTTTGTTCATTCAATCCTCTAGAATGGCGAATCAGCTGTACGGTTCCAGCTCCTACGGGTATGGGGGAGGATCCAATTCGTCCAGCATCTACACGTCCAAATCCATCGCCGAGCAGTACGTGCCTTCTGATCCCTCGTACCTTAGTTCATCTAGGTTTTTCGGTTCAGATCCCCCGTCATCGTCTTCCAATCTGTTCAGCTATTCATCTATCAGCGACAGAGGTCCTTCCATGCTCTACAACCACAAGGACACCATCGGCACTGGTTACTCGGCGGCCGCTAGAATGACAGCGAGAGAAGCATTGTGGCCGGGACCGCCTGGAGTTGATGCAGGGGTTTCCTCAACATCGATTGAATCTATATTAGCAGGCTATAAGCGTTCATCTACTGAAGGTATGGATCTTTTAATTGTTTATATACATCGCTTCCGATAACCATTCTTACACGCTCGCTAGAAAAAAAATCCGTCTGTTTAAGTTCATATAACCCAAACATTAGTCCTGTTCCCCAGTTCCATAAACAGATGCCAACCTGTTGTTTTTAATTAAATACAAGATTCTATTGCAATCGTGTTCGACAATTTTGTAACTTTGACCACCTTATCTTGATTTTGGGGGTTTGCTAATGTACATTTAAATGGGATGAAAGAGCTTCTTGTTATCGTTGCATCTTCTGTTAGAAGCCGACTTATTGTTAATCACCCGTTCATGGTAGGATGAATGAGATATATTCTTGTAGATACTGTTCGAATGTTTAACAAGGATAAACATGATAAGTGTCATGTCAAGTACTATAATAGAATCCTAAGGTGATGAGATTATCTAAACGTGTCCACATACCTATGTAGTATATACAACTTGACACATATGGTCATTTCCCTTCTGTCCCTACTACCTAATCTCATACCCTTTCCCAACCTTGACACGTTTTTAGCTTAATGTCATACATTTTATGATATTGAAGTGTAAGTGTGTAACTTCTAGAAGTATTATTTAGAAAAAAACAAAGGAGCTATGTAAGAATATAATGTATTTTAAATTTGGTCTAAAGTAGTATTTAAAGTTGGCGTCGGTTTTAATGGATGTATGCGTAACTGTGGGTATATCTATTCAATATATATGATTCTTAAATACTTTTGCAGTTATAAAGTAATGGATCTAATCATATTAATCTATAACTTGACCACAAATTGATGGTCTGATATGAGAATTGGGATACACATGTGGCAGTTATGGTATTTCTTTTACCAAAAAAAGGATAAGATATCATAATTTGCAAAATTAGAAATAAAAGCTAAAAGAAAAAAAAACTAGAGGACAAAATGAATTAATCCTTTTTCAGTAGTTTGGACTCTTATAAAATCATGATAATAATCGGCTTCTAATGGTATTTATCTTACATATATAAAATAATGATATCCTACTTATGTTACTTTCTTTTTAGCGTTTTCCACCTATTGGGTGAAGATCAAATTTATGATATAATGTATTTGTTACTATGCATATAAACTTAATTTCAAACAATGTCTTTATACTCGCACAGACTTGTTATTATAACCTTTGAAATAAATTTGGAATTTTTTTTAACTAAATGTTAATTATTTTTGTTTTTCTTTGTCGTATTAAACAGTAAACTCAAAACATAACGAACACACACCCATATATGTATATATAAAAGTATGCATACATACACATATATGTGTTTATATTTATTTTTATATATGAGTCATGACAAAGTTTGAGAAAATCTTTAGATACTTTATTCTATTTTATAAAACCAAAACCTTGACTGTGTTATTATACACTACCAAGTACCAAGATACATACAGTAGAAATTACTTCATTAACTTGGCGTTTTGGTTCTTTGATAATATAAGTATATGCTAGTTTCTAATGATATATAATAAGTTATATGATATATGTTTACTTAATAACTTTTTTTTTATATATGTCTACTTATCTATCTAGCATTATATCATCAATCGCTTGTTGGTGCCCATAATACGCTTGGGTTTTCTAGCAACCCTTTAGTGAAGCGGCCTAGATTCGAGGCTACAGCCAGTTTGCTGCCTGTGTATCCACAGAGGCCTGGAGAAAAGGACTGTGCCCATTATATGCTTACAAGAACTTGTAAGTTTGGAGATAGCTGCAAGTTTGACCATCCTATGTGGGTCCCTGAGGGTGGAATCCCTGATTGGAAAGAGGTGACCTTTTATCGTTATTTTCACTATATCTATATCTATCTATCTAATTATTACATACTTTAATTATAAACAAACTATATTTTGCGTTTACAACGTATTTATATTTTTAGTTCAATGCTGTATGCTGCTCTTATACTTACATATGTTTACACTCTACTATCTTATATTGATCTGCTGATAGTTTTATAATGTACTTACTACTTTTATCGGGAAACTTGGGATTTAAGCTAGGGCTTTGTATAAATTTATACATATAAAGTAATGGGTTATTTTTATAACGAGTGATACTGGGTTTTATTTATAATATAATGGGTTATTTTGTAGTGTGGTTTATCTGGGTCGGGCTCTAATGTCCTTTACAGAAACTAAACTAACTGGCTATGTTGTTATTATTATTATTATTATTATTATTATTATTATTGTCTAATATTTTATATAGGTATCTGTTTAGTACTTATGCATTCTCATGCTGTTAAGCTTTTATAAGACTTGTATAGGTGGACTTTTAGGTGTTCTTTCTAATATGGTTAGCTACCTAAATAACAACATACTTTTGACTTTAACTTGTACAACTTTTACATTAACTCTTGTAATAGTTTTAGCTTGAATAATAACCTGAACATAACCCTTTAGTTGTTTACGTGTCAGTTTTATTTACACTGTGTAATTTTTGGTTAAATTTGACTAAGTTGTTATTTCTTAATTGCTTATCATTGTTGGTTGAAACCCTACCTTTTTACTTGTACTTGACACTATTTTGTTGATCATATGTTTTTCTTTTGTTCACAGTAATATTTGTGTGGTATATTATCATGTTTTTCCCCCTTATTTGCACATTCACATGATTTTTAGCTCTAAATGGCAGGTCCCGACTACAAGTGAAGCCCTTCCGGAGAGACCTGAAGCGCCAGATTGTCCGGTATGTTGAACTTCTAGAAAGTTAACCCCATTTCCTTTTAATAATGATCAGGAATCTTAAAACTATGATGAATAACAAGGAATTGAATGCTTGATTACTATGAACTTGAAATGGAAATAACAAAATAACAAATCAGAGAAGTTAATCAAATGATTATGATCTTCTACCCAAGCTAATGCCTATGTCTCCAAATGCAAAAGACTGAATGATCCAAACCTCTAGACTACACTTATTTATACTAGCTTAGGGATAATACTAGATAAGGGGAGAATAGAAAGTATAAATAGTACAATTAGGCCCCTCCAAATTTGCCCTATGTTAATATATGACCCGTTCTTTATCAATAAAAGCAGGCTTGTCCTCAAGCCTAGGGGTTGGAAAACAACGCAAACCATTTGCAACATTGACATATGGGCCTTGATTCACAGAAGATGCGGGTCCAGTATGCGGAGGATTCGTCCTTTGAGTATGCGGAGGATTCGTCCTTTGAGTATGCGGAGGATTCGTCCTTTGAGTATGCATGAAGGACTCCAGTGTAAAACACCAAGACTCCCTTAGTGTTGTGTAATAGGCAACACAATATTTCAATTTTTCTTTTCACTCATCCCAAGGATTGCCTCTCTAAGTCCAAACGAAATCATCTAAATCACTTTTATTAAACTCAAAATCCTTCAAAATCTCAGTTACACAAGCCTCAACAAAATCACTTTTTAAAGTAGTTTGAAAAAAGACTTAAGTGAGAGCTGTGATGATTGATTCTTTTGGGGTATTATCTTCGATTTAAGACCAAAGTTAAGCATCTCTTTGCCAACAGCCACACTTGGTGAACCCTGGGAGCACTTCTCTCTGCCCAAAATATCATTTGTTTGTGTTAAACTTGAAGCCTTAAGATATTCATCCAACACTATTATGGTCTTTTAACACCCTCTTTGATTTCTCCATTAAAATAAATACCTGGTTGTTCATAGGCTTTAACTTTCTCAATAGATTGCCTTTGTGATATCATTGACACAAGAGTTTGTTGACATCCCCACACTCGAGGACAACATCTAGCGGATAAAGGTGGAATAGTATGCTTGGATGTTGGAGATCTTTTTCAAAATCATAAACACACAGGCATGATCCAAACCTTCTAACTTTGCTTTTTCCCCATCCTTCCCATTTGCAGCTTAGTGTGGTTCTTAGTTTCCAGTGTCTGTTTGAATGGTGTTAATATGTCACATTCACTCGTGCTTGTAGACAAGCATGTATAGGCTTCTTTTCTTTCAGGATGTTTTGCTTTGGTCATATCAAGGAAAAAGCCTTCATTGTCTATGAGTAAAGATCTTATCTAACTCCTGGGCGTAGTATTTTCAAAATTAGATCCTGCATCACACCCGTCTATAGAAAAAGGAGCAATGTTTGAATCACCAACACCAATTATCCTTCTTTCTTTAAGAACGAGATTCTCCCATCGTTTCAACAATATTTTGTTGGATGAGAGCTTGAACTTATTCTGTTATGTATCATCATATGCACAGCTTAGAGGCCCAGAAATACTGAAAAGTAAATAACCATCATCCGTGATAAAACAACTCCCCCCAATGTCAATTTTAAGAAGCCCTTCTCTATCAAATCCCTTCAATACATGTTAGAAAATCATGTTTTTAGGTGCAAATCGTTTAGAGTTCTCTAGGATGCCCGTAATACTCTTCTATATCAAGTGGTTTTATTACGTCATTGCTTGAAAAAGTAGATTGTACCTTATAAAATATAGCAAAGTAGATTGATTTCACTTCACTGATAGATACCATGTGCCGATCTCAATAGAAGATGGTAGTTTCATCTTACACTTGGGTTTATCAAAGTAGATTGAACTATCAATAGATCGCTAAGACATTGGACATGCCAATAACACCCCCACGAACCAAGCATATGATCGCTCCGAAAGTAATCTTGATGATTGCTTTAGCGAGAGATTAGATGAAGTCGGGTTGTTTCTGATTAGTTGTTGGTATTTCGGGATTATACCTCCATTAAGAGTTAGCATTGGACTCATCTTTCATTCCTGTCATTTTATTGGATCGACTGGAACAACCACCTGAGACGGATTAGAATGTCGATCAGAACATCGGACAAGTAAGTCAAGGTACACAACGAAAAACACAAACTGTAGATGCTAAGCCTTTTATATGATGGAGTTACTTTCATTAGTGCTGGTGGTAGTAAAAATCCAGGGGGTTCTAAAAAGTGGGTTGTAAACATTGTCATGGAACATTTACTAGCTCGTACACTTGAATTATACTCATTTTTTTGTTGTTTAACTCGGAAAAAAGCTGAAAGCCTGAAATTAAGAGGCCTCATTGTAATGAGAGACCGAGATACTTATGGAAGTTGCAAAAGAAGGTGAAAGAGGCTGAAAAATTTGGAGTCTCTAAATCCCTAAGAAGTTTTGCTTTAACAAAAAACCAAATTTGATCTCTAAAAAACCGATAAAGCAATCTTTTGCAATAATAAGTGCGGTTGATTTGAAAGTTGTGAGGGCTTTATGTCAAATGGGATTCCATTTAATGCTTTGTGGAATCCTTAATTTTGTGAAATGGTAAATGCATTAAGAAAGGCACCTGAAGGTTATAAAGCGCCATGAGTGATAGATGAATGTGTAAGAGATGTTAAGGACTTGACACCGTTTAAAGATACATGGTATTCGCACGGAATTTCTATCGTATCTGATGGGTGGTCATACATAAAAAATAAGCCATTGCTCGATGTTCTTGCTGTAGACAGTTGAGGTTCTATGTTAATGTATGCAACAACTGACTTTTCTAGAGTGGAGAAAACAGGTAAAGCAATTGCTGAATTTCTAGGCGTAGTGATTGATTTTGTCAGCCCAACTAATGTTCTCAATGCTGTGAGGGACAATGTTGCAAGTTGTAAAGCTGCGGGAAAGGAAATCCAAAAGGTATACAAACATTTTTTTTCTGGTCATCATGCTGTGTTGTTACCTTAAACTTGATTTTTAAAGATTTTGAAAACGAGTTTATTTGGTTAGAGGACATAAAAAGGGGAAAATGATTGTCAAATACTTTTTGAAACTTGGACTAGCTTTGTCCATTTTTAGGGAGAAACCGAAGTTGGATCTTTTGAAGGTTGCAAAAACCCGATTTACTTCTCACTACATTTTGTTGAAGCGGTTAATCACTTGTAGAGAGGCCCTATCTACAATAATTGCTTGTAATTCGTGGAGTGATTTGGTTAGATACGGCGATGAACACATTAGAACAATTGGACAAATTGTTGATCATACATATCAGAGATGATGACTTTTAGGTTGAAGCTGAAAATATTCTACGCATCACGAAGCCAATTTATCTGTTGATTAAATTTTGCAATGATGAAGGCCCAAAAATGGGATAAATATACGAGAAAATGGATAGTATGTTCGGGGAAATCCAAGATGTGATGAAGGAAAGTATATATGCATTGTATTTCCCTCAAGTACAACAAATTGTATTGAAAAGGTGGGAGAAAATGAGCATACCATTACATTGTTTAGGATTTGCTTTAACTCCATGATTTTATGTTACGTGTTATCTTGAAACGTTAGTACCGGGTGGAACGCGTAGAAAAGCATTAAACCTTGATAAAGAAGTTGTACAAGGTGTCATGGAAGTAAAGTACTGGTGGTCTACCTATGGCATGGAAACATCGGAGTTAGCTGAAGTGGCAAAAAAAGTATTGTCACAACCTATAAGCAACTCTTCAGCCAAAAGAAATTGGAGAACTTATTTCTATTTTCATAACGTGAAGAGAAATCGAGTGAGCTTTAAATGACAAACTTGTTTTTGTTCATTCAAATATTCGTTTGAGTTTAAGGTTTTTTGAAGAATATAAAGAAGGACCACACAAGAAGTGGGATATGGATCCCGAATCTACAAACTTAGAAGGATCAAGCTCAAGGCTAGAAGATATGGAATGGAACATCTCAAGGAGGACGAAGATAATGGTCAAGGAAGAATAAAAGGGAGGATGACTAATTTACATGTTTGAGTTTTAAGTTTATCTGATATGTTTTAACTTTTGATGCTTGTTGGATTTCATGTAATCTGTTTTGAATTTTTGATGTTTGTTTGATTGCAAGTTTTGAATTTATCTAATATGTTTTGAATTTGTGTAAATGGTACCACAATATTTGGTACATCGTCCTGAAGCGTACCGAAATGACCCCCCCCCTCTCTCTTATATTATCATTGTGCAAAATGTATTCTTCGACCTCTTTTAGTTTTAATTCTGTTTTAGTGAATAGATAATCGTGTATTGAAATATGAACAACCATCTTAGTGCAATCCATTTGGTATTTAATGCAATGCAGTATTTCCTCAAGACTCAAAAATGCAAGTTTGGCCCCAGGTGCAAATTCAATCATCCAAAAGATAAAGCTGCTCCTTTGGTAAGTTGTGTGTGTCATTTTGATTTGCATTCATGTTCATATTAATTTATATTGATGCATTTTGCAGGTTGCTTTAGAAAACATTGACACTTCTGATCTACCAGAGAGACCATCTGAGCCCCCATGTGTGGTATAATTATTTCTTCACTTCCAAGGACTCTTTGACTTTTCCCATTTTACTCATCTATTTCTTTTTTCTACATGTTTATGTGTAAGCAGTTCTATATGAAAACTGGAAAATGTAAATTTGGTTCAACCTGCAAATTTCATCACCCAAAGGACATCATAATTACAGCAACTGAGGTAGAAGATGGTAATGGTGAAGCTTTTATGGTTGGTGGTGGTTCAAATGGCAATGGGAATTTGGAACTTTCAATTACCCCTTTTACCCCTGCCATGTTGCATAACTCAAAAGGCCTCCCCATTAGACCGGTAATACGTTTGCGTACATTTCAATCATGATTCAAAAAAATTCTTACAAGCATAAAAATGATGTCTTTACCCCTTGGTTCTCTTGATTGCTCACATAGGGAGAAGTGGATTGTCCTTTCTACCTGAAAACTGGCAGGTTAGTAAATTTGATTTCTTTATTTTAAGTTTCTGAATAATGCGTCCTAATTTTTTTTTTTTTTTGATATAGTTGCAAATATGGTGCCACCTGTCGCTATAATCATCCAGAGAGATATGGTAAGTCTACATCAATTATCAATATGGTTTCTTGAGGAAATTAAATATATCTTGCTTGATAATTGGTTTTGTAATGTTTAAATGCAGCAATCAATCCAGCTGGCGCCATTGTGTCAACTCCTGCTGCTCATTTGACTTTTGGTATGGTCAACCCAATTTCCGCTGTCATGCAAACTGTGGACCCACGACTTGCTCAAACAACGGTAAAGTAGAGATTCTTTGATTCCTGTATTTAGCTGTTTTTTTCTGGTTTAGGTCCAAAAACAGTTCTTTTACATTTTTGGTCCTTGAATCAACTAAATTTATGAAAATGACCATTTTGCCCTTATATACTTTATCGCTTCTGTCTTTCATGGTCAAGGAGTATAATTAAACCCCAACAACGATCCATCTCTTTCCTAGAGAAACCCTAACCAAATTCAACCAAATCCTATATAAATCAAACCAACCCCAATGAAGAACAGAAGCACAAGGACCAAAATTTTAATTTACTCTTTAAAAAAAATGAGAATAGCATTTTGATAAAACCAAGTTACTGGATGAAAATAAAAATAATAAAATTTAGTTGGAAGTAATTCAAATTTCATTCTTTATTTAACTTTTGTTGCAGCTTGGTTTGGGTCCAACAGTCTACCCTCAGAGACCTGGTCAGATGGAATGCGACGTGTGTATTTGTTATATAAGCTCATCTTCTATTCAATTTTTTTGTTTTAATTTTTTCTTATTTGTTTTATAAATTTGCTCTTGTAGTATTATATGAAAACTGGGATATGCATGTTTGGAGAGAGATGCAAATATCATCATCCTATTGACAGGTCAGCACATGCACAGTCAGCAAAAGAATCCCAACTCAGCATCAAGCTTACTCTTGCTGGTCTTCCAAGGAGAGAGGTAGACCTTGTTTTATTATTCATATTGCACTCATGACAAAGGGTATTAATGGAAAAAGTGTATCAAGTTATATACTAAGATTCCATATTTACCCTTGACATACCTGATAACGCATATATAAAAAAGTTGGTGGAAAAGTTGATAGGTTACTACCTACTTCATTTGATTATGACAAAGGGTATTTTTGGAAAAGAACTTGTTATGCATCATGTGCATTGGATTTCTTACATGTGAAAGACATAAATGCCCTTATTGTCTAAATCATCGAACAGGGTGCAATACACTGCCCATACTACATGAAGACAGGGGCTTGCAAATATGGGGTGACATGCAGGTTTGATCATCCGCCACCTGGCGAAGTTATGGCAGCTCCAACATCACAAGGACCATCCGATGATGTCAAAGAAGAATGAAATTCCTATTCTGCCCCTTTTGACTTTTCATCTAGGATGTTTTAAAATGTTTGTGGTTTGATTTGATAATTGCCTCTTTTCTTTTTCTCTTATTTTGAGAAGCTTTTAGGTTTGAATTTTAATTATCTCATCAAGAAAAATGTTACCATCTGCAAAAACATTTGTTGCCTGATGCTTGATGTTATTTTGATGTTAAATGTGTATTTGCTTAGAGTCAATGCATGATTAGATTATGTCAAAAACCAGATGAGAATTGATATAGATAACATGATCATGTAAATGTTGAAAGCATGCATGTATAATGTTCTTCAAACGGGATGAGAGAATTAATCAACACACCTAACAACTATAGCTAAGAATTATGATTGACATAATTAATTGGGATTTTTTTTTCTTCTAGAACCACATGCTATTACAAAGTTGAAATGTTTTTGAATTTTCATGTTTTTTTTTCTTAATACACAAGTTTAAATATCAAAAATACACATAAAAAAAATGATGCAGTGCACTCCAAATAGTTAAACAAACACGTAATCAAAAGATTTACATCACATACATCAAAATGAAAAATGTATAATACCGAAAAAAAATATTTTTTTAGATGAATACATATATTTCAAAAAGCTTAATGACATTTATTATGTGTTTTTAATTCAATTTAAGAAAAGTCTGTTATATAGATGTCAACCATCAAAGTTTGTTATGTAAAATGCTTCTTTTCTATATGTTTTTATTTAATTTAATCGGCTCAACCGGTTTTTTAAAAACCAAATAGTTCGTTCTAATAAAAAATAGACATAAAACAAGTTTTAGTTGAGCTGTTCACTTCCTCGGTTCCTGATCCGAACCGGTTTTTTAAAATGTTGCGTTTTGGATTTAAACCCGGGACTCTTTTTTGGAAGTTTAATTTTTAAATGATCAGCATTAAACATCCTTGAGGGTAGTTGGGAAACATATTTTTTAAAGTGTTTTTATTTTCACAACATTAAATTTTATATAAATTATTCATGTAATGTGATAGATATTATTTATTTATTTATTTATTGAACATGCATTTTTGTGACAGAAAACAACTCACATTAGCAATGTAATTAAAATTGCAAGCTATATGCATTTAGCACAATTTGGTACTTTTATTATTGTCAATTAATTCAATTCAATTCATTTTTCATTCTTACCTTTGTTATACATATAACATGAACTAATGACTTGTTTTATTCCAACAAAGTAATAAAATATGACCGTGAAATGATGACGTTGTATTCCATTACTCTTGGTACATTTCACTTTCTCATCATTCGATTTTCTCTAATAATCCCAAACCTAAATGTTTTCGTATCATTTACTTATATAATTATGTCATTACTCCATTAAACTATATGAGCAAACTATCTCAACCATATCCCTCTCTCGTTGTCTTTCTGCTGATATTCTCTCCTCACATCATAGATGTGGAGGTCGCATAAGAAAAGAAGACCTTTACACATTTATTCTACAATCTCTACAAACAAACACTATACCAAATAAATAGTTCATATTCAGAATGAATACAGAGTCGTGAGAGGACAATGATACACAATGAAAGCTCGATAAATAAAAAAGGAATGGTTTATGATTGAGACTGACGGGATTCGAGTGTATATATATATATATATATATATATATATATATATTGTTGGTGATTTTATATCATCAAATATTATTTAAGTGTAATAGGATTAAATTTGTTGACCAAAAGTGATATTGTTGAATATTGAACAAGTTAGGATGGTGTAGGAGTGCACACTTGTTCAGGTTTTTCAAGATTTAAAGTACATTGCTATTTAGGGGCGAAGCCCCTAAACGAACGGGGGTCCGGGGGCAGCGCCCCTGGGAGCGGGGTCCCAGGGGCAGAGCCCCTGGCTGGGATCGAGCTGACAGGTCAATGCGAAATTTTTTTATTTGGACTATGTTGCTATATTAAAAATTGCATCAAAAATCCAATTTTAGAAAGTTGACCCTTTATTCATTGACATCCGTTTAATGACAGTTTGGTAGTTTTATGACAGTTTGTAACTGTCTGTTGACAGTTTTCAGACAGGATTGATATATCCGTTTTTTGGTCAATATTCTAGTACATGTTGAAGAACATTTTCATATACATTCTCAAATTTCATTCGCTGAATTTCATCCAATTGAGTGTTCAATCTGTACCATCGAAATACTTCAATTTGATAGTGAATCACAACTTTCAGAGAATCCAAGCAATCTATTCATCCCTTTTTCTAACATATATATATATATATATATATATATATATATATATATATATATATATATATATATATATATACCTAAAAGGGTCCATAAAATGACAAAACAATCGAGATCTCAGGCTAGGACAAACACTTCTAAGAAATCCCTAAAAGCGTTGTGTACAAGGCTTCTTCACAAGGTTAGGCTACTTAATATCTAAAGTCAAAACCCTAAACTTTAACATGTGAACCTTATTGACGTCTTAATGAATAAAATTTCCAACTTTACTCATTAAGACATTCCTATGAAGCAAGCTCTAATCTTTTTTGCTCAAAATGACCTAATTAACCTACATAACTTGCATGACTTAATAGGAAGGAGAAAAATCCTAACTTTCTTAGTCCAAAAGGTCCAAGGGACATTTCCAAGAGCTCAAATGGTTATGGAGTTTCTTCATCTCCAAGATCACCAACAAAATGGACCGAAATGTGCCAAAAACAACAAATAACAAGATCTAGCAATCCAAAGAGCAAGTTAGGAACTTTATACTCACAATGTTCTAGAAATAAAGTAACTTTGATCGATCTATACTTTCTTCTTCCATCAATGACATCATGAGAACTTCAATATCTTCATTCTTTACTAAAAAAAATAGTGGAATAAGCTCACAATTCAACCACAAGCTAAAAAATGAGAGGGATAGAGATAGAGAGAGTTAGGGTTTCTGGAAAATCCCCTAAAGGGTCATAGAAGCTGAGATTGGTCGAGCCCTAGGGGTCAATGACCTTTAAATACTAAAAAAACCCTAATAAAACGATCAGCGGGTCAGAAGCGCGCTATGCTTCTTAAGAGGCGCTTCCCACTTCTTACGATTAATTCCAGATTTTCAGATTTTCCAGCAAATGCGATAAATGGCTTTATTCTTCGCCCCATCATTTTACTTCCTTATGGACTATAAAACCATCGATTAAAGAGTGGAAAGACATAATCGAAATTCGAATGTTACACCAAGATCACCATTAGTCTTCAAATGTTGCTTCTAAGCCATATATAGGCTAAAAAAGTTGATGATTTTTTTTATTTATTTTTTTATTTTATTTTTAAATATGCATATAGGTGCATGTATGCACATTTTATATTTCTTCATACATTTTCAAAACAAATACAACAATAAGACTCTAATATCAATGTTTAAAATAATTGCAACTTAAAGTGTAAAAAACACACAAAAAATAAATAAATAAATAAATGTGCCTATATGTATATTCATATATATATATATATATATATATATATATATATATATATATATATATATATATACACACACATGCATATTTCAACAAAAAAAAAACTTTTTAATTTTTTTGATTGAATATATCTTAGAAAAAGATAAGGTTTTAAATAACCATCTTTTTATTTGATATTAGGATGTTCACTATTTAGATAAAACCGAATTATCTAATTGAAAATTTTGGTTTGAATATTCAGATTGTTAAATTGGTTATCAACAAAACCGGATTATTATTTTGAATTTCGGACTCGTTTTGATTTAGAAAATAAGAAGGTTAGAGTAAAAAAAACCGAATAACAATTTATTATTTATTTACTTTTAATATATATCTATTATTATTTATTAATTTTATTAATTTATTTTTTCTAATAGATTTAAAAAGTTTCACATAATAAAAAATCTTAATATGTTTTTTTTTTTTCAAAAGTTTTTTATCTATAAAATATTAACTATAATATATTTTTGTAGTAGCTGATTTATAAATTTTAAACCGGATAAATTTTCTTTGTTTCTTTTGTAAAACCCAAAATCAATTATGATTTGTATTAACCGATCCATGAACGCCAATTATGGGTTCATTCCCAACTTCAATAACAGTATCAAACAATATCTTACTATTGCAAATTCATTACACGTTTAAGATGATGTGGCGTTGAAGCAAACCGTATGTTTCGTTGAGTTTGTGGATAATTTGATTTCAAAACTCTACGAAACCAAACCCTCAACAACCGCAAATCTTCAGCAGAAATGGGAGACTTGAATGCTCTCTCCCATGGCTACAACGTAACGGCAGTCACATTTAATCCTATCGGCTTCAACCATAATCGTATTTCCTTCAATAATGTCGCAATTCGTAGTTGTATCCCGTTTGAATCGCGTAAATCTACCAATTTTGCTCCATTATCTGTTTGGACACCCAAGTTTCTCGAGATGAAACGGAGGAAGAAATCCATATCTCGTTCGACGTCTTCAACAACGTCTCCGGCAGATCCACCGGTTACTCCTCCACCTCCTCCACAACAATCGACCAAAACAGAGGAGGTAACGCTTTATTATGATTTTCTGCTCTGTGAAAGTGTGGAAGTTGTTTACAGTTTGTTCAGTAGCTTGGACCTGACACTTCGAGTTACTCTCGTTTTTATCAGAATGTGCCAAGAAAGGGCCCCGATCTGCCCACGCTTTTCAGGAGATTCTACAAAGTTGCTGCTCCATATTGGTATTCAGATGATAAAGTTCAAGCCAGAATACAACTGGCGTCGGTGTTTGCCCTGACTTTAGGAACCACCGGTATCAGTGTTGGTTTCAATTTCCTCGGTCGCGACTTCTATAATGCCCTTTCTAGTAAGGATTGCGCATTACATTTTCATTATTCTTTAATTTCTTATTGATGAATGATGACACAGTATATATTTGAGTATGCTAATCCATAATATCCCTAAATTGTGCTAGACAAAGATCAAGCACAGTTCACCACGCAACTTACATACTACCTTGCTGCTTTTGCTGGTGGAATTCCGGTGAGCACATTGCTGCATTCTTTTAGGTATTGCTCACCTGTCTTCTCGATTTTTCTTTCCACAGTAGCTACCACTGGTGAAAATGTTGTGGAATTGCTGCGTTTCTTGTCCTACAAGTTGTATTTGAATTAACTACTGTTAATAAAGCTTTATTTAGCTTTAGTCCTACTCATATTATGGTTTTTGCAGATTTTTGTGTTGAGAGATTATGCAAGAGAAACCCTAGCTTTGAGGTGGAGATCCTGGA